TTGATATAGTCCCACTTGTTCATTTTTGCTTTTGTTTCCCTTGCCCAGGAAGATATGTTCATGAAGAAGTCGCTCATGTTTATGTCCAAAAGATTTTTGCCTATGTTTTTTCCAAGAGTTTTATGGTTTCATGACTTACATTCAGGTCTTTGATCCATTTCGAATTTACTTTTGTGTATGGGGTTAGACAATGGTCCAGTTTCATTCTCTTACATGTAGCTGTCCAGTTTGCCAACACCAGCTGTTGAAGAGGCTGTCATTTCCCCCTTGTATGTCCATGGCTCCTTTATTGTATATTAATTGACCATAATATGTTTGGGTTAATATCTGGACTCTCTGTTCTGTTCCACTGATCTGTGGGTCAGTTCTTGTGCCAGTTCCAAATTGTCTTGATTAGTGTGGCTTTGTAGTAGAGCTTGAAGTTGGGGAGCGAGATCCCCCTGCTTGATTCTTCCTTCTCGGGATTGCTTTGACTATTCGGCGTCTTTGTGGTTCCATATGAATTTTAACACTATTTGTTCCAGTTCATTGAAGAATGCTGTTGGTATTTTGATAGGGATTACATTGACTCTGTATATTGCTTTAGGCAGGATGGCGATTTTGACAATATTAATTCTTTGTAGCCAAGAGCATGGAATGAGTTTCCATTTGTTAGTGTCCTCTTTAATTTCTCTTAAGAGTGTCTCATAGTTTTCAGGGTATAGGTCTTTCACTTCCTTGGTTAGGTTTATTTCTAGGTATTTTATTCTTTTTGATGCAATTGTGAATGGAATTGTTTTCCTGATTTCTCTTTCTATTAGTTCATTGTTAGTGTAAAGGAGTAGAACAGATTTCTGTGTAGTAATTTTGTATCCTGCAGCTTTGCTGAATTCAGATATCTGTTCTAATAGTCTTGGAGTGGAGTCTTTAGGGTATTTTATGTACAATATCATGTCATCTGCAAATAGTGACAGTTTGACTTCTTTACCTATCTGAATTCCTTGTATTTCTTTGTTTTGTGTAATTGCTGTGGCTAGGACCTCCAGTACTATGTTGAATAACAGTGGGGAGAGTGGGCATCCCTGTCTTGTCCCCAATCTTAGAGGAATAGCTTTCAGCTTCTCGCTGTTAAGTATGATGTTGGCTGTAGGTTTATCATATATGGCCTTTATAATGTTGAGATACTAGCCCTCTATACCCATTTTGTTGAGAGTTTTTATCATGAATGGATGTTAAATTTTGTCAAATGCTTTTTCAGCATCTATGGAGATGATCATATGGTTTTTGTCCTACTTTTTGTTTATGTGGTGGATGATGTTGATGGATTTTCAAATGTTGTACCATCCTTGCATCCCTGGGATGAATCCTGCTTGGTCATGGTGTATGATCCTCTTGATGTATTTTTGAATTCAGTTTGGTAATATTTTGTTGAGTATTTTTTACATCTGTGTTCATCAGGGATATTGGTCTGTAATTTTCTTTTTTGGTGGGATCTTTGCCTGGTTTTGTTATTAGAGTGATGCTGTCTTCATAGAATGAGTTTGGAAGTATTCCCTCCTTTTCTATTTTTTGGAAAACTTCAAGGAGAATGGGTATTATGGCTTCTCTATATGTCTGATAAAACTCAGTGGTGAATCCATCTGGCCCGGGGGTTTTGTTCTTGGGTAATTTTTGATTACCAGTTCAATTTTGTTGCTGGTAATTGGTCTGTTTAGATTTTCTGTTTCTTCCTTGGTCAGTCTTGGAAGGTTGTATTTTTCTAGGAAGTTGCCCATTTCTTCTAGGTTTTCCAGCCTGTTAGCATATAGATTCTCATAGTATTCTCCAATAACTCTTTGTATTTCTGTTGGGTCTGTCATGATTTTTCCTTTCTCGTTTCTGATTCTGTTTATGTGTGTAGATTCTCTTTTTCTCTCAATAAGTCTGGCTAGAGGCTTATCTATTTTGTTTATTTTCTCAAAGAACCAGCTCTTGGTTTCATTGATTTTTTCTGTTGTTTCATTGTTCTCAATTTTTTTCATTTCTTCTCTGATCTTTATTATATCCCTCCTTCTGCTGACTTTGGGCCTCATTTGTTCTTCTTTTTCCAGTTTCAATAATTGTGACTTTAGACTATTCATTTGGGATTGTTCTTCCTTCTTTAAATATGCCTGGATTGCTGTATACTTTCCTCTTAGAACTGCCTTTGCAACATTACACAGAAATGTTCTGTTGTTGTCATTTGTCTCCATATATTGCTTGAACTCTATTTTAATTGGGTCATTGATGTATTGATTACTTAGGAGCATGCTGTTAAGCCTCCATGTGTTTGTGAGCCTTTTTGTTTTCTTTGTACAATTTATTTGTAGTTTTATACCTTTGTGGTCTTAGAACTTAGTTGGTAGAATTTCAGTCCTTTTGAATTTACTGAGGGTCTTTTTGTGGCGTAGTATGTGATCTATTCTGGAAAATGTTCCATGTGCACTTGAGAAGAATGTATATCCTGCTGCTTTTGGGTGTAGAGTTCTGTAGATGTCCGTTAGGTCCATCTGTTCTAGTGTGTTGTTCAGTGCCTCTGTGTCCTTACTTATTTTCTGTCCGGTGGATCTGTCCTTTGGAGTGAGTGGTGTGTTGACGTCTCCTAGAATGAATGCATTGCATTCTATTTCCTCCTTTAGTTCTGTTAGTATTTGTTTCACATATGCTGGTGTTCCTGTGTTGGGTGTGTATATATTTATAATGGTTATATCCTCTGTTGGACTGAGCCTTTTATCATTATGTAATGTCCTTCTTTATCTCCTTACTTTCTTTGTTTTGAAGTCTGTTTTGTCTGATACAAGTACTGCAACACCTGCTTTTTTCTCCCTATTGTTTGCATGAAGTGTCGTTTTCCATCCCTCCACTTTTAGTCTGTGTATGTCTTTGGGTTTGAGGTGAGTCTCTTGTAAGCAGCATATAGGTGGGTCTTGCTTTTTTATCCATTCTGTTACTCTGTGTCTTTTGATTGGTGCATTCAGTCCATTTACATTTAGGGTCATTATTAAAAGATATGTACTGATGGCCATTGCAGATTCGTGGTTACCAGAGTTTCAAGGGTAGCTTCTTTACTATCTGTCTGTGTAACTTAACTTGCTTATTAAGCTATTATAAACACCGTATGATGATTCTTTATTTCTCTCCCTTCTTATTCCTCCTTCTTTATATGTTGGGTGTTTTATTCTGTGCTCTTTTGTGTTTCCTTTGACTGCTTTTGTTATTAGTTGATTTTATTTTTTGCCTTTAGTTAGTATTTGGTTGGTCTGCTTTCTTTGCTCTGATTTTATTTTCTCTGGTGACATCTATTTAGCCTTAGGAGTGCTTCTATCTAGAGCAGTCCCTCTAAAATGCCCTGTAGAGGTGGTTTGTGGGAGGCAAATTCCCTCAACTGTTGCTTGTCTGGGAATTGTTTAATCCCTCCTTCATATTTAAATGATAATCGTGCTGTATACAGTATTCTTGGTTCAAGGCCCTTCTGTTTCATTGCATTAAATATATCACACCATTCTCTTCTGGCCTGTAAGGTTTCTGTTGAGAAGTCTGATGATAGCCTGATGGATTTTCCTTTGTAGGTGATCTTTTTTCTCTCTCTGTCTGCGTTTAATACTCTGTCCTTGTCTTTGATCTTTGCCATTTTAATTATTATATGTCTTGGTGTTGTCCTCATTGGGTCCCTTCTGTTGGGAGATCTGTGGGCTTCCATGTTCTGAGAGATTATTTCCTCCCCCAGTTTGGGGAAGTTTTCAGCAATTATTTCTTCAAATACACTTTCTATCCCTTTTTCTCTCTCTTCTTCTGGTACCCCTATAATGCAGATATTGTTCCGTTTGGATTGATCACACAGTTCTCTTAATATTGTTTCATTCCTGGAGATCCTTTTATCTCTCTCTGCATCAGCTTCTCTGTGTTCCTGTTCTCTGATTTCTATTCCATTAACAGCCTCTTGCACCTCATCCAGTCTGCTCTTAAGTCCTTCCAGAGATTGTTTCATTTCTGTAATCTCCCTCCTGACTTGATCCCTTAGCTCTTGCATATTTCCCTGCAGGTCCATCACTGTGGTTATGGCCTTTATTTTGCATTCTTTTTCGGGAAGATTGGGTATATCTAACTCCCCAAGCCCTCTCTCTGGGGTTGTCTGGGTTATTCTTGACTGGACCAGATTCTTCTGCCTTTTCATGGTGATGGAGGTCATCGTAGGCGTGTGCCAGCTTGAAGAACAAAGTCCCTACCTGCTTGCTGGTCACCTTGCCCTTCTCCGCTGCCTGTGTCAGTTACCCTCAGACAGGGGGCAGTCTCTGGGTTAACCCTGAGCTGCCATGGGCAGGGAAGCCCTTGGGATAGCACAGAGCCCTGCGGGGAGTGGCAGGTGCACCACGTGTGTTCTCCTGCAAGAATGCCTCCCCTTTGTGCCTTGCCCCAGCTTCCTCTGTGCTGGGCAGCTGTGTGCTGGTGGCAGCCTCTGGGTCTGGCCCAGGTAATTGTGCTGGGAGGAGACTCTGGGCAGCTGCTGTGGGTGGGGCCACTCCCCAGCAGCTCCTCCTCTGTGGTGGGGCAGTGCCGGCCAGGGTAACAAATGGACAGCTGCTTACCACCGTGAGGGGCTTCAGAGCTGTGTTGCCACCCATGGGGTTAGGGCTCCTGAAGTTACTTAGGATTCCCAGCCTGCTCGGCTGAGTGTGCCGGAATGATTCCATCCACCTGTGAGACTCCTGTCCCTTTAAGACTTTAAAAAGCACTCACTTTTCTTTTGTCCCAGGGCCGCTGGCTGTGGGGCCCTGCTCGCAGATTTTACTTTTCCGTTTCTCTAATATCCAGCACACCATGCAATGTGTCTGTGCTCCCAGAGCAGATTACTAGGGCTGGTTGTTTAGCAGTCCTGGGCTTCCACTCCCTCCCCGCTCCGACTCCTTTCCTCTCACTGGAGAGCTGGGGTGGGGGGAGTGCTCAGGTCCCGCCAGGTCATGGCTTTGTATCTTACCCCCTTTGTGAGATGCTGAGTTCTTGCAGATGTAGATGTAGCCTGGCTGTTGTACTGTACCTTCTGGTCTCTCTGTTAGGTGTAGTTGTATTTGTTGTATTTTCAAAAATATGTATGGTTTTGGGAGATTTTCACTGCCCTTCTCACACTGCCATCTTGCTTCCTCCTCCCCAGTTTTAACTCATTTTTTATGTTGATTTGTATGTTTACCTTATATTTGTAACCTTTGCTTTTTTACTTCTTTATTTTGAAAGTACTTCTTTATTTTGAAAGTATTAGCTTTTAAAAGTAATGGATCTATCTTCTTACTATAGTAATCCATGAGTTATTTATTCTTTGTGGACCCTATAGCCTAGCCAGCTTTTCAAAGTCACCCTATCATAACCATTTTTCATTGTTTCTGTCAGTAGAAAAGGTAGAGGTTGCTGCCTCCACCCTCTATTTCAATCTTTTGGCCAGTCCTATTGATATATTAATGTAGGTTTATTTGAAAACTGAGTATTCATGTGTTTTTAGATGAGTTTTTTTGTTGTATTATACTTAATAGTTTAAGACAAAATGCCCTATTTTTAATAGAGTAATACAGCATCTGGTGGAATGACACGACGAAATACCTATGTTTGCAGTGAAAGAACTACAGCTGATAGACATTCAGTAATTCAGAATGGCAAAGAAAACAGGTAAGAAATTTTACCTGTTTGCAAGAAAACTTATTTTTCCCAGGAGAAATGGAAGCATGTCATTTACTTCTCAGGTTTTATAATCAAAATTCAAAGAATAATGGTAAGTATTCTGTAATGGTAAGTTAAACTTTAATGTGAATTTTTAGCGAGATAACTAGAATTCCAAATTCCTCTCATTTTTCAGACTTTATCCTCCTGGTTGGCTGGCTATGTGTGGTGATTGAAAAGGTTGAGTTAAACTAGGGAGCTTTCCTAAAGGAGGTGGATAGTAACCTATGGTTTAATTGTAGAATAGTAAATAGGGAAGTGGAGGGTTTTTTTTTTTAATAACTGAAACAAAGGCTGATGGGGGAAATAAGGTTCTGAGGCAGGGAGCCTTTAGAGCGCTGGTAGGTAGGGTAGGTGAGCAGTTTGCCAAAGGGCCCAGGTGGACAGGTAGTAACATAGGCTCCATCTTAAAAGAGACACACCTGAGAATGCCAGAAATGGAGAACACAGTCCTTTGAATGATTTTAGTTTGATGGAAAAGCAAGCATACGTAGGATAAACGTGATTTAAAATACTGAAGGAGTGGTATTAAGTAGGTCTGGAGACCATGGGGTAGGGTTAGTGTGGGGGACAGAAAAAAAGAAGTTGGATTGGTAAGTAGCTAAATGTATTTTGTATAGAATGAATTTCCCAGGCTAAAATATATTTTTCTTCTGTCTTTTTGGAGTGTGTTGTATAAACTAAATTCAAAGTAATAGATAAAATGAAAGTGAGCAAGCGGGGTTCTGGAGCAGAAGTCCATAAAATAAATTCACATCATGTTTCATTGTGCCCTAACCTCTTAACTTGAGCATTATTTGATCATGTGACAGTCCCTTGTCTAGCATCAAAATTGTTTTTGTTTTTTTCTCATACTTTCGGAAATTGCATTTTAAGGTTTCTGTTTCCTTTAAATCTCATTTGTCAAATGAAACGTTTGATCACTAACTTATGTGACAGCCTAAGCAAAGATTTTCCTTTGTCCCTTCATCTTTAAAACCTGTTATTCCCTCTTCCTCAGAGTACTTAAGTTTGAATTGATATGAAGGTAAAGGCTTGTTATGTAAGGTTATATTGATTATTCAGCGAACTTTTAGAAATATTTACATTACAGCATTCTCTTTCTGATTCTGATGTGCGTGCTTATTTTAACATTGTCTTCATGATTAAAATTAATAACGAGTATAGCAACTGGACTAGATAGCTACAAATAATGATTGGTGTACTCCTTCTTCATAGTAATCTATGGTAAATTTTCCTTTTTTACAGTTGCATTCTCAAATCTCTAAATTTTCTTCTAGTTTGAAGTGATTTAATAGAGGATATCAATAGAAAACTACAGAAGTTTCTAATATGGTTTCAGTCTATAGAACTAGTAAAATGTAGTCTTATAGCCCTTTTTGTAAATTCTTAGAAATGGTTGGACTGTTCTGTCAGAATCCTTTTGAACTTAAGAGTGTACATTTCTCTGAGGTATAGAGTCAGACTTTTTTAAAGTCTGTTAAGATGAAGATTCACTATTTGTCCCCTGCTTGGGGGGGGGGTGTATGTGTGTATGTGTGTGTGTGTGTGCGCGCGCGCGCGTGCACATGCACTTCCAGTGCTTTCCCACAGTCACTTAGTCCACTCTTTGGACATAATTTTAAGAAGTCTCTAATTTCTTGAGAGTCATTACCTGTCTGTGTTTTACCTGTAGACACCTTCCTCTTTGGGGGTGACTCCGCCTGATCCCAACCTGGGTCTCATTGCTTCTGTTAGTATTGATCATTTAAATGCTTTGCTTGTGAAAGTGTTACCTTTATTTTTAGCCAAACACAGCCTCAGTGCCAAACCACACAAGATGGGGCAGAGCCTGTAATCTAGTAACAACCAAGTTTTCTTTTCTTTCTATCTTAAAAATGAATTGAAAAAATGGAAAATTATTGGAGGTTGGAGTGCTAAAGTAGCAGTCGTATTTCCTAGCGTCCAGTTCGGGCACAGAATGTGACAGTTCCCTCCCCCTTAAAGCAGATGCTTATGCTGTGGGGAGGCGCCCTGAGCCTGTTCTGTGCACAGGCAGCTGCTCAGGCAGATTGTCGCTTTTTCCTCTCCCCTACATGCATTTTACTCCTTGCCTGAAATACTAGTGAACTACAGGGTCCCTGGATCTCTGTGAACTTCTAAAACAAGGACATTAATTTCTATTTTTATCCTTGAGTATGTTGGAATTTTTTCTTACATATATGGAGTGGTTATACAGAATCCCACCATGAGAATGATCATGGCTAATAAAAACTATATGAAAGTTTAAACCAGAGGCCACACTTGTCTTAAACAAGCTTTCAGCTAACTTCAGAATCCTACTCTGGATATGGGATGATGTTTTAGAGCCTCCTGAAATATAATTTTAATAGATTTTTTTCATTTAAAATTAACTTTATTGATCCTTAATAAAGCAGCCTTCCTCTTCTAGCAGCTTTGCTATGTGAAAAATAAAGCTAATCATTGGTATCTAGTGAAAAGCTGTGGGTTTTGGCAAATTGCTGCTTTGAGACAATCATGTGAGTGGTTTTCTAAATCTGTGAGTAGTTTTCTAAGTGAGTCTCTCATTTTGAAACCAGACTTGCTAAAGTCCACTCTGCCTTCTGCTGTAATCCTGCTGATGTAATTATTCTGCTGCTTCTGATGTCTGTCTAAGAAAATGGCCAGGTTCCCAAATTGACTAACAGTCGTTATAAATAAGGTATATAATTACATCTTCAATTGTTTTAACTCTGTCAACATTGTTTAGGTTTACAATGAGTCTTAAACCACTTAGCACAGACACTGACACGTTGTAAGTAGCTCAACAAATGCTAGCTTTCATTATTGAGGATAAATTGTTCAGACACAAATGTATTTTCTTAGTTTTAAAATTGTGTTAGTTTTAAATTAAATTTTTTTTTTAAGGCTAAAATTTTTAGTCTTAAAAATTTTGCTAACCAACCTACATAACATAGACACTCTGAACTGCTTTTTCATATGCTTTTAGATATATGTATAAGAGGCTGGTGGAAAGGTGTTCATTTGAGGAACCCCAAAGAAGTTGTGTGATGTCATTATAATAAAGCACAAAAGAACCTTTCCAAATAAATTTTATGTATTATCACAAGTAAAATTGTAAAAAAAAGCTCTACTCTTTTATCCATTTATCCACTTGTCCTGCATCAAGGCACAGGGATTGAGCAGAGAAGATTTGATCACAGCTAACACGTATATCTTTTGGATTATATTTTAAATTATTTTTGCCTAGTCACTGAGTATGCTTTGAATCAGCAACCAAAACATTTCATATCAGGATGTTCTGATATGGGGTAGATGTCATATCAAACAAATTGTAAAGTACCTGTCCTTTAAGAACCATAAGTGGTTTAGGGTTTTAAAAGATAATCAGATATAAATACAAAGCAGTTAGGAAGATTAACAGGAACTTCATGCAACACGAATTTTAAGAAACACATTGCTATTTCTGTAAGTAAAGGTTTAAAAAGTGGTTCTCCCTTGGACCTAGAACCACTAAAAATGTAATGCAGCCACTGTGTTGCCCATGTCTATTGTTGTGGGCTAGCCTGTGAAATAACAGCCAGTCATTTTAACACTTTTCTGGGAGTAAAATTTTGTGCAGCTTTCAACAGCCAACATGATGAACACACACTCCATTGTGATACTGGGGTTGTTGTACATACAGTTTTTGTGAGTTTGATTGTACAAATTTGAAACTTAGCAGACATTTACTGAGTTCAGTGTTTTCTAAACTGCAGTACTAGGCCTACCGTAGAAGTAAAAAAAAACGTGTTTTGTTGCTTGCTTTGTGGAACTCATTCTGCGACATGGATTACATTTCTTTAAAAAAAAATTTCATTTAATTGCCTTTAAGACTAGTATGTCAAAAATTTTAATAACCAACAATGAAAATATCAATTTACATTTCCTTAGTTCAGACACAAATGTATTTTCTTAGTTTTAAAATTGTGTTAGTTTTAAATTAAATTTTTTTTTAAGGCTAAAATTTTTAGTCTTAAAAATTTTGCTAACCAACCTACATAACATAGACACTCTGAACTGCTTTTTCATATGCTTTTAGATATATGTATAAGAGGCTGGTGGAAAGGTGTTCATTTGAGGAACCCCAAAGAAGTTGTGTGATGTCATTATAATAAAGCACAAAAGAACCTTTCCAAATAAATTTTATGTATTATCACAAGTAAAATTGTAAAAAAAAGCTCTACTCTTTTATCCATTTATCCACTTGTCCTGCATCAAGGCACAGGGATTGAGCAGAGAAGATTTGATCACAGCTAACACGTATATCTTTTGGATTATATTTTAAATTATTTTTGCCTAGTCACTGAGTATGCTTTGAATCAGCAACCAAAACATTTCATATCAGGATGTTCTGATATGGGGTAGATGTCATATCAAACAAATTGTAAAGTACCTGTCCTTTAAGAACCATAAGTGGTTTAGGGTTTTAAAAGATAATCAGATATAAATACAAAGCAGTTAGGAAGATTAACAGGAACTTCATGCAACACGAATTTTAAGAAACACATTGCTATTTCTGTAAGTAAAGGTTTAAAAAGTGGTTCTCCCTTGGACCTAGAACCACTAAAAATGTAATGCAGCCACTGTGTTGCCCATGTCTATTGTTGTGGGCTAGCCTGTGAAATAACAGCCAGTCATTTTAACACTTTTCTGGGAGTAAAATTTTGTGCAGCTTTCAACAGCCAACATGATGAACACACACTCCATTGTGATACTGGGGTTGTTGTACATACAGTTTTTGTGAGTTTGATTGTACAAATTTGAAACTTAGCAGACATTTACTGAGTTCAGTGTTTTCTAAACTGCAGTACTAGGCCTACCGTAGAAGTAAAAAAAAACGTGTTTTGTTGCTTGCTTTGTGGAACTCATTCTGCGACATGGATTACATTTCTTTAAAAAAAAATTTCATTTAATTGCCTTTAAGACTAGTATGTCAAAAATTTTAATAACCAACAATGAAAATATCAATTTACATTTCCTTTTTGAAAGGTCTCTAAATTTAAGGAGGGTCAGTTTTTTGGTCCAAAGATCCAAGAGGTATTGGTCCAGATAGTCTTGCCATGTTTATGTGCCTTATAAATCTTGGCTACACTGTCCAGCCAGTGAGCAGTGTGCCTCATGGGGAATAAATCAAGCATCTTCTTGCTTAGCATGCTGGCTGAAAGTCTTACTTCTCCAGAGTCTTTGGGACCATTTATATTCTCTAGGGAAGAAGCCAAATACTCTCTGACCCCTCTGCTTCCCCTGTCTCCCTTAATGCATCCACTGATCCTAGCTTCTAATGTGGACAAGAGAATATCAGCAGCTGGGCAAGGAAAATGTGTGTTGACCCTTGACCTGCCTTGAATAGATAATAGAGCACAGAAGACAGTTGTATTTATCTGTATCTTTAAAAAAAATATTATTCACATATGTGTGTGTATGTATGTATTGGGAGAAACCAAACATTTCTTCAAATAGTTGAAGCAGGTAGGAACTCTCTGTGTGCAGGTGACAGGAACCACTCCAAATAGGCTTAAATTTAAAAGGGCATCTCATCTATTAGTTCCTGTAACTCAGAATGTCAGGGAGAGAGTCGGGGTCCGTCTCATAGTCTTGCTTCCTCTGTAGTAGTTCCCTGTTTGGACTCAGCAGCATCAGACTGGACATCTTCCCACACTCAGCTCTGCTCAAACAGAAGCCCTGGGGTTGTCTCCTGGGTCTGTGTTGGTCTGGCTCTGGCCATATGCCCATCTCTGAATCTGTCATGGCAGGGTAGCTAGGAAAGTCTGGGGTGGAGTCAGCAACATCTGGAGCCCAGAACACTGCTTCCGCCTTGGCAGAATCCAAGTGTTGCCACAGAAGAAAGAGTGGATGCCAAGTGGCAAGAACACAAAGCTGAATCTCTTATCTTTATGAGGCCTTTGTTTCCAGTTCTCTTCTGACTATATTAGAGCCACTCTCCCAAGTCATAGAGCAGAATTCTCAAACAAAAATACAGGGAAAAGCAGATCTTCTTGAATAATTTATTATAAAGACCCATCTCCCTCATATTGGAACTATCAGAATTCCAGTGACTCATTTCATTAACTTACCTTTCTAGTTCAGTGAGCATTTATGGGACACCTGTCTGAGGCTTTCTGCCTTGGGGACACGTTGGTGAGATGGCAGGCTGTGCTTTCAGGATGCTCAAGCAGGGGAGAATCACTACCATACAGTGTGGTATGCAGTAGCAGGTGCACATGCTAGAGACACAAGAGTAAATGGCAAACTCCTGATGGGAGAGGGCATCAGGGAAGCTTCATGGAGGGGATGACCTTGTGTGTTGAATTTTGTTGAACATGGAAAAACACCAGCTCTACAGGCACAAAGAATAGCTCCTGCAAAAGTTCTTTGATCTGATAGCATGACCTAGGGCCTGCACATCGTCAAGAGGGCCAGGAAGTCAAATTCCAGGAGGTAGCAATAGAAGGCAAAGCCTGGAGTGATGGCTGCCCCAGGCTAGGTTCCTGAGGATGCGACCTGGATGCTCTGGGAGGAGTTTGGACTTCATATCCTGAAGATTCAGTGTGCTTTTGAAAGGTTATAAGCAGGTGAATGACAAGGTCAGGTTTATATTTTAGGAAGTTCCTGTCTGTACAGTGGACAGGTTGGAGGTGTGTGGGTGAAATCGAAAAGACCAGGGAAGACAGGTGCTGAGGAGCAGGCCTGGCAAAGACATGAAGCTCTGGTGGGGGGCAGTGGAGAGGGTGGGCTGGCTGCAGCACTGTGGGAAGTTGGCAGCAACAGGATGTCATGGTTGCTCTGGATAAGGAGCTCTGGTAAGGGAAACCCTGTGTTTCCAGGTTTCAGGCTTTGAAAGGATTTCCACTGAAAGTGATCAGAATTCTAAGTCCCTGATTATCCTTAAAGGAAAGAAACTACCCCCTTTGGGGTTCCAAGGACACAGTGAGTGAGCTGGAGTTCAGGAGTAGGACGGTCATGGTGAGACTCGTGCGGACAGTTTTATGCCGTGGCTGTCCATGGCAGGTGCAGCTGCAGACTTCCAGCCCTCCTGCCCCCTCTTTCTCTGTCTGCATACAGGGCACCTGCTCATCCTCATTTTCCTACCCTGACAAAAGTAGCACTCATGAGCCCTTAGGGATTTTGACTGTTTTTGTAAAGAAATGAATGTCCTTTGAGTAAAAAGATTCTCATCTATACTTAAACAACATAGGATCCCTTATAAATAACAACTAGTTACTGTACCTGTAATTTTACTCACCCATTTAAAATACAGCAGTGTACTTTGGGAACAGGTTGAGAACACAGTGGATTCATAGATTTACTTCATCACTTCAGTTTGGAGATACCATTTTAGGAAAGCCTTCCTTTTATATACAGCTCAAAGACATTGTCCCTCCTATAAAATATTCAGACTTGTAAAATGCTGTTTCTTTAAAGAAAACAAGCCTTAGAAATTACTGTTTCAATACAGCTACAGGGTAGCAGTTGCTCCAGAATCCCCAAAACAAGTTTTAAGAGATTTTTGTTCTTTGACAAAAATGAGATGGTTTAGGGAGGAAGACGTGCTTTAAACAACAGGTTGCTCTTTTTTGTCATTGGTCCGTCATACTGTTGTTTCTGCCTCTACCTGAACCCAAACCCCCTCCCAGCCTGACAGAAATGTTCGCTTACGCAGCTAGCCCTGCCTCAGTTTGTACCACATCTTCCACCTGTCGGCTGAGACATCAGAAGTCGATGTCCATGTCAGCCTCTGGGCACCCCAAGATGATGTTACTACCTCCAATAGACAGTGAAGGAGATAACTTCAAGGCTATGTAAGAAAAATGCACATTCCTCGTGAAACTAATGTGTACTCACTGCTTCTCAATTTTGTGCTGTGGATTTTGTAGTCCAAGGTTTTGTTGCACTTGTCCACAAAGTGCCCTTCCTGTGTGTGGTTTTAGTTAAGCGCATCCTGTCTCATGGTGTCCTTGGTTGTCTGTGTGTGTCTCGTGCCTTTGCATACCACAGAGGGCATAAGAAGCCCCTCCTCCAGGTTGTATTCAGCATGGGGAACCTTACAACACTTAGGCTGTTTGTGTGCTTCCACACTTTTTAGTTGCCTATTCTTCAGTTTCACCTGCACAGCCTTCATGTCTTTTATATCAGCAAGGCTCTCTGCATGTGAGTGATCTGAGAGGGAGACAAAGGAAGAGAGCTGGAGCTCACCATCCTCCGTCCTAGAACTTCCCTGCACTGATCTTGTCCTTGAAAATATTTATGTACTATTCCCTTGAACTCCACGAGGCTTTGCTTCATCATACATTGTTCCTTTGATACCCTTTCCTGTTAAACTTAGCTTTTGCTCCTAAGCCTGTAAAATACCTTGGGCCTCAATTTATTATAACTGATTTTCTCTACTGTATATAAAAGGTATATTGTGATTGTAAATTTTTCTGTTCTGTGTTTGCCCCAAAGTTGGGATTCTGTGAACAAAGATGTAAGAAACTATTACGTTCTGATTCACAGCACTGTTCCTGATCAGAGAACTCCAGTTGCTTCCACACACAGTGTCAGCAGTGCAGCCACCCCAGACCGAATCCGCTTCCCCCGAGGCACTGCCAGTCGCAGCACATTCCACGGCCAGCCCCGGGAGCGGCGAACTGCTACCTACAACGGCCCGCCAGCCTCACCTAGCCTGTCCCATGAAGCCACACCATTGTCACAGACTCGAAGCCGAGGTTCCACTAATCTTTTTAGTAAATTAACTTCAAAACTCACAAGGAGGTAAGTGCCAGGTGGGTTGGCTGTGTGGAGCAAACACAGGAGGAAAAGGAGAAATGTCTTGTCTGTTGTGCAGCCACTGCCCATATGCTTTCCGTTTTGTCTATAGTTCACAGCTTTCTGGTTTAAATATCTAACCTTATACGTTAAAATCTTTTAGAATGGGAGTTGAGCTCAGAGTCCTTTCCGACACTGTAGGTTCTCTGGCGGTGGCAGGTGGGTACTGCTGCTGTTCGTACGGCTCCCTTCGGTCACACATGTGCAGGTTCCCTGCAGGTCAGCAAAGCCCAGGTCCGTATGCAGTCACTGAGGAAGACAGGCTTTGGTGTGATCAGCCCTCGGCACTGGGCAGAGGCATTTCCTCTTCTCTCACTCACTTCTGAGGGGCACTACGTTCCTTAGAGTCTAAATCTTGAAATTGTTCTTCTGTTCTTCCAAAGTAACTCACTCTCTTAGATGGTGTAGTTTTGGAGTTAAAAATCCCTGGTTTATTCTCAGCAAGAAACTAGTGTCTAGTCACATATAAAATCCTTCGTGTGTCCAGGAAGCTGTCCTTTTGGGACTTGGGAAATCTCTAAGGGCCCCTTGAGATAGTTTAACTTTATTTTCCATAATGTAGTCTGGAGGTTGCAAAAGCCTAGAAACATTTCCTGCTGCAAGAGTAGAAAAAAAAGATAGCGCTTTGCACCAAAAGCAAATAGGCAAAGGCACCTTTAGCTGGGACCACATCCAGGAAACCTGAGAGCCCCTGCAGTTCCAGGACTCCCAGAGGAAGTTCTTGGAAATTAAGCCTTGCTGGGGTTAGTATGTCCACACTGCCCCGCAGGTTTGCTGTTACAGCCCCTCTTGTTCATCATCTGTATCTTACAGAAGAGCAGGGAGGGTCTTCTCAGAGTCTAAAATGATGGACACCCTCTACGTCTGTTCCCCTGTACTCCCTGTGGCCCGGTAGCCTACTGCTCTGTTTCAAGCTGTCTTTGTTTTAACCTGTATGCTCAATACCACTTCGCATCTCCTTAACTTGTCCACTATAGTTTATTTTAGATCAGTCATCTAAAACTTAGATATCTGAGTCACATTAAACTGTCCTTCCCCAGGTGGTTTGTCACCAAGACACTGAATACCAGCCTAGGGGGGAATTCTGCTATCCATTAGCATTGACTAGAGGTCAGAGAGTTCCAGTCTGCCCTCTTACTTTCTCCTTGGCCCCTTTGCTGAGACACCCCATTCCAGACTGGGCAGAAGAGCAGAATCGTGGAAAGGGCTTCTCCAGGTTTCAGGCACCCATTTGTGACCAGTGAGAGAGACAGTAAGTTCAATCGAAGAAGAGTCTGGTGACCCCCAGAATAATCGTTCCTTCCTTTCAGGGTCATCCGGTGGCCTATCCCTGGCCTCCCTGTCCCCCAGCTCCTTCTTCTGGGACTAGGCTGGAATGGAATCTGCCTCTGAAACTTGGGTGGGAGGAGGTGGAGCCAGGTATCACTCACCTGGCTCTTTACCTCCCTGACCATGCTTAATGTCAACTGGCATTTGGCCCTCTGAGCTCCAGTCGCAGGGGGATGTGCAGCAGTTAGGCCTCTCTAAACTTTAGTTATGGGACAGTCAGCTTTGTATCCTTACATTTTGGTCTATAACAGGCTCTTAAATAAAACCTTGCACACCATTAAAATCTTTGAATTTGTCTCCTTTGTGCTCTTTTTTTGGTCATCTTAATACTATCACTAATGAAAATAATACCAGCTACCATTTAGTGAGTGATTACTATGTGCTAAGAGATCTATGGAGCTAGATGTGCTCGTTTCAGATTTATAAACATGTATGTGTACACACACACATTCTCTCTCATACACATTTAATTTCCACAGTCTGCCCTGTGGAGTAGATATTAACCCAGCTTTATAGAAGAAACTGGAAATGAGGTGCAGAGAGATTAAGGCACATGTTCAAGATCCTGCAGCAAGAAAAGTGCTGAGCCAGGTTAGCTGATTGCAGAAGCATGGGTCCCCTGTGTAAGATGGTAAAGGGCCACAGCAGGCAGAGCTCCTTTTCCTTCATTTTCTAATCAAGTTTATTTCATGAATTTGAATTGAATTTGGAGACTGGGGTTTCTTGTTAAAAAATTCCAGGGGTGTCACCTTATTTTGCAATTTCTAGACAGTTTCCACCCCCAAATGTTTGCAGGAAGATAGTCTCCTATTGAAGTTTGCAAACTGAGGGCTTTCGTCTTCTGTGGTATGCGGTACTTCGATTGTAGTTGGTTCATTCTGAAAAAAATACTCAAGAGTCCTTGCTGCTGCCATCAGTGTCAGCTTCCTTCTCTCCCTAACAGTTGCTGGGGTTGAAGTTCTAGTGCCTGAATTGCAAAGAAGGCCTTTGGGGACTTGGTGGAAGAGAGCTGGTACCAGAAAGCCTGCACTCTGCTCCTGGCTCTGCCCTGGGTGTCAGTGTGGCCTTGGGGGCCAGGCCTGGCCCTTCAGGGAGGTCCCTGCAGGCAGAACAGCCCAGGCATAGGTGTAGGCACCTGTGAGGGCCTCAGCTCTCTACTTCCTCCTTTTTATACCCCAAGAGGCCCATGGGAGTGAAAGTCTAGAAAAGTAGTGTGAAAGGTACTTGGTGCATAACCCTAACTCTTCTCAGGAGATTTGGAAACGGACCTTCTAATCAATTTTCAACTAAAACGTAGTTTAGATAATGTTTTATATTTGTCGTACTCAGTTATTTATGAAATCTTTTCACATGCATGATCTCTGCTGCATGTAACCCTGCCTTGTACCACTTCTGATTTGATTAGGAAGTGGTTGGCAGTTATCCACAGTAGTTAGATATTTTTTTAATTGGTCAGTATCTGAGGCAATGCCAAAGTTATCCCAAATTTTAAAAAATGCAAGAAATTCATTAATACAGTCAGTCACTCAGCATATATATATGAGTGTCTCCCATGTTCAGTCACAGAGCTGGTAAGTTTTAGAAGTAGTTTGACAAGCCTAGCCTGCACTTGCCCAGGAATGCTGATCACGTGATCCTATAGACTGGATCTGTAGTTTGGAATTTCTCTAGTCAGATTCTGTTCTGTACAACTTAGGCATCTTACATTTTTTTAGCAAGCATAGTCATTTTTAAATACATATCTTCTAGCCTTTACATAAAATAATATAAATGAAGCCCCCACTTGTTACCCTGCCATTTAATTTTCACTCTTAACTGAAAAGTTTTATTTCACTTTAAACCCCAGAAAGTTATGTCTTTAGATGACTTATACTACTATAACAGACGTTCTATTAATGCTTAAACCATCTTTCTGAAATAAGTAATGATTCCCTTGTTAAACATTTTATAATGAAATTTTTAATGTATATGAAACTGAGACTTGTTCACAAGGTATTCTGAAGGAAATTGATTACTAGTACATTGCAAACAAGTCATTAACAAGGTTGGATTTTATTATCTTAAAAGTATATCCATCTGAAGAACCTTAAGTTTAATTACAGCTAATGTCAATATTTACTGATAAATTTTTTCTTACAAGTAGTTTTTTACACTTCTGATTAAAAGGTCACATCCTCAATTACCTGTATTAATTTTACTTTTTCAACAAATGTCACTGTTTCATTGTTCATTGGACAGAAGACCTCTGTTTTGTTCTTTTTCTCTATATAATTAACTAGATTTTATATTTAATTTGTGCAAGTCATTTTTGTTAATTTTTTTTTTTGGCTTAATTTCTTTTAGAAACATGTCATTCAGGTTTATCAAAAGGTAGGATTTATATATACACATTTTTTTTCAATCCTCACCCCAAATTGGCTCCTGCAATTAACAACAGGTTTGGCTTTCTAGCCCTGTTTTGTTTTGTTTTTCCCTTCGAAACTAAACTTTCTGCTGAGGACTAAATACTTACTTCTTTAAAAGGAAACTGTAAAGAGCAGATTAACTCCATCAGGCATTTTTGAAGGGACTTTGGCACCCATATAACAAGAGGCCTACGCATGCTCTGCATTTTCTTTCTTTGGTAGAATTATTTAGCATCCAAATAATTCTGTCTTTCTACTAATAACACTTAGCATGCTTCTGTTTGAAGAATGAGATGCTCAGTAATGTTAATGTACAATTAATGAGTAGCCTCAAGCATGCAGAAGGTAAGTGGTCATTGTGTTAGTCATTCTTTATTTCACAGGATTGAGTTGCAAGGGCTTTAAAATGACAGGGATATTAGCTAACATTCTAATACTGGAAATAAGCATAAAATTCAGACCTACAGCTTTATTTGGTTTAGGTTTTTCAGAAATTGAGATGTGGGCAGCTGCCTTCCAGACATGTTGTAACATTTTTAGAGTGGAAGAGTAAATAGTGTGCTTCCTGAAAGCCACTTTCCCACCTGCCACTGAAGAAAGAGGTCCCATTACTTAAAGTGCTGTAGTAAATGTATTACTGGATGAATATTTTTTTGATGATAACAGTCAAAAGACCAAAAACTTTGCTGTCTTAGAATGCACACTGATTAGGCCAGAAACCTGCCCCCGAGGCCTCACTGTGCCTGTGCCTCGGCTCACCCGCTGACGGGACCGGTGGCCTTACCAAACAGAGGAGTGCTGCTTCCCTGTGTGCAGTCCACGCCATGACTACTTCAGAATTAATCTTCCCACTTGCCAGTTTTTTCCTTGGACAGACAATATTGTAATTTAATAAAGAATTCAACTGATAGAACTAATTCCTTTTCATTGGAAACCCATTATGCTTTTGGGGGTGATTAAGATGTCAGAACCGCTCCAGGTGGAGGCCATGCATGTTCCGGTTCCAGAGCTGGGCAGGCACACCTGTTGGGCACATAAAGCAGGTTTGCAGCCAGCCTCCTGCCTGGCCTGTGTGGATGCGTAAAGGGCCACTGAGTCAGAATGTTACTAAGCTCAGCTGGTGACAAAAATGCTTTGGATTTGTGTGTTCTATGATGTTTATGTTTGTATATGGGTGGCAGTGTACCGGTATGTAAGATCTCTTTTCTCTTTCCCACTTTTCTGTGCTTCTACATTGTATTCGTTGAGGCTTCCAACTGAATATGAGAGGAACGGGAGATATGAGGGCTCAAGGTGAGGGAAATGATTTTTACTTAAAATATTTTAAAGGTGTTTACCTCATGTCTGTGGCACAGACGATGCCCTTTTCTGCATGTCCTGCATCACATTCTTGCCCTGTAGGATTGCTTAGCGAGCTGTGCATGGTGGGTTCAGAAGTGGATGTGTGTTACTGCTGAAGGCCTCCGCCCACGAGCTGCGCCGCACCCCGGTGGCCACTTGAGGGCACCGGAGTGCCGCGCCGCCTGGCGAATGCCTGCCTGCGTCATCCCAGCCTGACTTTGGCCTCACCTAGTATTTGGTGCTAAAATTCACATCCCTCCTGCCTGGTCCTGGCAACCGCGAATGAGGCCTGGGAGTCGGTAGGAGCGCTTTCAAGGCGTCTATGACTTCTCGCATGGTTCTGGTCTCAAGGGATGCAAGCAAAATCCTGAGTAGAATGTTCGTATTTCATATTAGATTTTTTTTTTTAAGAATGTTTTTGTGTAGGGTGTTTTGCTTTTAAATATTTATAGCTGTCATTGTATGAATTTGGGGGTTAGGGGAGTCGCCAAATAGGCTCAAGACTGACTTGCTAGTTCTAGATCTCTCCCACTGGTGTCCTTGTTAACCTAATCACCACCATGCTGTTCAGGTCCTTGTTAATCCATCAGCTCTCTTCCTGGCCTTTCTAAAGCATAGGTCTGATCGTGTAACTTCTGAATGAAAACCTGTAGTGGCCCCTTCCCTAATAGGAACGGAATCGGAGTACCTGCCTCCTGATGTGAGGAACAAGCACCCTGGGCCCGGGTGGTCTGTGCACGTGACTGCCCTCAGCACATGGCTGCTTTCCCACTGCCTTCTCTTTGCGTGTGATGTTTCCCTTTGCCCAACACAGACTTGTCGCGTCGTTGAAGTGATGTGGGCGCTTTATGGCTCCTCAGACGCCAGCCCCTCCGGGAAGCCATGTCCTCCTTACCCACCCTGCCTTTCCCAGCACCCTCTATTGGGCTGCCCTACCTTTCCTGTGCTACTGCTGCCTCCTTAAGCTAAAGGCTTCCCTCTCCCAACCCAAACTTAGTTTGAGAGCCTTCACTCATTTTTGTGACCTGTTTAGTACTTACCAGCACTTTATACCTAGGAAGCTTCTGATCACTTTTAGTGGATGTGTACCAAATTCAACATTTCACCAGTAGGTTGGCAGCCTGCAGAAGAGCTGTACACATAGCAAAGACTATAGCTCACCCTCAGATCTGATGAATTTGCCACAGGACTTAGTGTATTAAACATGCATATACTGGGTGTTTTTAATGCACAAGGGCTTTTAGGTATTTGTGGTCCTAACTGAGGCATCCAGATGTACACATGAGAACATAAACAAGTCTGGCAGTGATGATTGAATGTCAAGAGCAATAAGATAGTAGATGCCTGTTCTTGGAGTTGCCAAGAGAACCGCGCCTGGGGCCCCACTGTGACCCCGCCTCGTGGGTATTGGGACCAGATCTCACACTTCATGGACCCATACAATTAGTATTCAGATGGGTTGTTTCATTGCTCAGCAGCAGATAATGTTTAACGTTTCAATTCTCTGTTTCAGTGTAAGATAATAAAATCTGAGAATTATTTTTGACTGTGGAACTGTAGGTTTAAATTATAACAAAACTTAAAGAATCATATCGAGGTGGGTGGAGGGGACTAAGAATGGCCCATGCCCAGCCCCTTCTTGTGTGCTCAGTACCTTGGGCTGTCTGCAGGGAAAGCAGTTTTAAACTATGTTGAGTCACTGGTTGTCCTGAGTGTAACAGTTACGATGCAGGTTATGCTGAGTTGAATTAAAGAGAATTATGGTAGAGGAGAAGCAGCCAGGCAGAGCAGAGCTGGAGAGTGGCCTGCAGCCCCTCCTCACCAAGCTGGGCCTGTGAGGAGCCCAGGCAGCTCCTGGCCACCTGCCGTCAGCCTGCAAGAGCTGGACTCTAGAAGAGGTTCTCAGCATTCACTCTCCCTTTCCTGATTTCCAAGGATTCTGTTTAACAAATTATTTTCTTCATCTTAGTAAGTACAGGTGGCTGGTAGAAATTTTTCAGCCAGAAATGTTTTCTTTGGGGGTGTGGCTTATGATTTTTGTAGGGGGGAAGAAAATAGATGACTGCTTCTTAGAAAGACACTTAACCAAATGTGGGTCTGTTCAGTTAAATGGAGCTTAGTTATGCTATTGAAGGTGTCGATTATGAACTAACTAAAGTAGAAAAGCTGGTTTTCCTGTGCAATTAAAAATAAACCTGCCACTGTGCGTTTCAGTCGCAACGTATCTGCTGATCAAAAGGATGAAAACAAAGAGGCAAAACCTCGCTCCCTGCGCTTTACCTGGAGCATGAAAACCACTAGTTCCATGGATCCCAGTGACATGATGCGGGAAATCCGCAAAGTGCTGGATGCCAATAACTGCGACTATGAGCAGAGAGAGCGCTTCTTACTCTTCTGTGTCCACGGCGATGGGCATGCAGAGAACCTCGTGCAGTGGGAGATGGAAGTGTGCAAGCTGCCAAGACTGTCTCTGAATGGGGTCCGGTTTAAGCGGATATCAGGGACTTCCATAGCTTTCAAAAATATTGCTTCCAAAATTGCCAATGAGCTAAAGCTGTAACCCAGTAATTGTGGTGTAAATTAAGTAGCAATTTAAAGTGTTTTCCTGAACACTGATGGAATGTATAGAATAATATTTAGGTAATAACGTCTGCATCTTCTCAATCATGATATTAAACTATAAAGACGAGAGCACGCCTGGGAGCGAAGGCTGGCCTTTTTTCTACAAATGCACTACATTAAAGATGTGTGACACGTGTGCCCTCTGTCTTATTTCCATTGCCCTGAAAGTCAGTGTGTGCCTCCCATCTCCATGTGCCTCCCGTCTGTGTGGGTGTGAGTGCACCATGTGGGTGTGAAGTAGTGCGTAGGAAGCATCTCCTTACACTGGCAGCCAGAGTTGTTACGAGTACCTCTGTGGGAGATCATTTGGTGCTAAAACACTACAATTGCCCAGGAGGAAAATATTGAATTACTACTAAGAATTAACCTTAAGACTAGTTGATAATTAATACAGGTTTACAGTTCATGCCTGTGGTTACGTGTTTGTTGTTTTGTGGGTTTTTTTTAGTACAAAAGGTTTAAATTTATAGTTGTGAACATTACTTGTGTGTGTTTTTCTAAGTAGATTCACAAGATAATTAAAAATTCACTTTTCTCAGTAAAATCTTGCATTGTCTCCTGATACTGTATGTAAGACTCAGATGAAGGCAGTGACTACAAGTATTATGTTCTGCCTGCACCACCACGTGGAACAAAAGCAAACAGAAAGTGTATGAAGGCCTGGGGTCACTTTGTCCTTATTGTGGATCCCAGCATTTTATGATTACTAGCATCTTTTTTCCCCAAAGGCAATAAAGGGAGAAGACAGCCCTCCTGGTCAGCTGAGAAGAAAGGGAATCGGGAACCCAGCAGCCCGTGTTGGAGAAATGCCAGGTCTTGCCAGCTCTGGGTTGCTCTCCATGAAGTATGTAATTTTCCTCCCTTGTTTTTTGTGATTCAGTACAGGAATCAGACCTGTGTTTTTTTTCCCTATACCTGCATGGCTACATAGAGGGGTAATGAGTGCATCAGTCAGGTTGATGCATCACTCTCACGGGGAGATTGTCACAGAGACCGGTGTGTGTTTCGGATTCTGGGTTTTTTGTTGGTCCAAGTATGAAGGTCTTGACAGGCAGCCCCTTGGTCTGTTGTAACCAAGGGCAGGGCACTGTTCTAGGTGTTCGGGGCATATGAGTGAACAAAACAAGATCCCTAACCTCTTGAACTTTGTGCTCTAATGGGATGGCAGGAATGAACAGTAACAAGTGACGTGTCTAGTATGGAACAAAGTGGGAAACGCCATGAAAAACCTGCAGAGCAGAGTAAGGCATTGCACAGGTCCTGGAGTTCAGGTAGGTGCCATGTTAAATAGGTTGCTGGGTGGGGGTGGGGTGTGTGAGCAGAGACTTGGCTGCAAGGGAGGCACCTAGCAGAGGCCTGACGCCAGTGTACAGTGTGGTGGAGCAGAATTGTGGGAGATTCAGTCAGAGCACCAGAAGGCCTGCAAAGCCCCTGCAGATAAGGGTCTTTCTCTCAGGTGGGAACTGCTGTAGGGTTTCGAGCAGAAGAGTGGCGCAGCCTCAGCTTCCCAAGGATTGCTGGAGCAACCATGGTGCAGATTCACCGTAGGGAGCGAGGAAAAGCCAGGAGAGCTGCTTGGTGGCCAGTGGCAGTAATTAGACAAGAGGTGCTGCTCTCCCTGGGAGATGGTGCCTGCATTCTGGATATGCCTTGAAGTAAGAGTCGGCTGCATTTGCTCTTGGACTGGGTGTGGAGGAGTGAGAACCAAATGGTGCAGAGGCAGCGGAGCTCTGCAGGCAGAGGCGGCCACAGCTTGGCTCCTTTTCTTTATGTCTAGGGAGCACTCTGAATTGCTTTCCCTATTTTTGTTCCCAAGGACAAACTGAATACTAATAGTTAAACTCCTTTAACAGAAATTAGTTGACCCTATGACCTGATGAAATGGCCACTCTTTATGCAGACACAGATGTTTATATTATTTTCAGTGGCTTATTTGTCACCAGCAGTCTGCATATTAATGTGTTACTGATCCAGTGAGAAATGGGTACTCACCCACAGATGTCATCCAAGTTGCTCTATTACTAATTGACTTTGATTTGATTTTAGTGGCAACATTGATAGTATCACCTTTTCTGAGGTTAGAACATGAAATCTCATCCTACTAAGGGACCTGAGAATATTACATTCTCAGGATATGGCTTGTTCATTCTGCATACAATGAATTTTGAGAAAGAACATTCTAAATACTTAAAATATCTTGAGATGCAAAGACCAGGCCGCATTTTCCCCATTCACTTCCCTGGAATCCTCTAGGGGTGAGTCCAGGTGCCTGGCAGTTCAGTTTACCTTATGACTAGTGTTGTCCCCCTCCTGAAAGTAAGACGAATATTCCAGGTATGCTGACTTTCGTCCAGATCAGGCACATCAGAGGAATCAAGACAGTGTTCCTTAGTGACATTGATGGCACTCAGATTGCCCTTTCAATTCTGAAAGTGAAGACCCATGCAGAAAACGGTCAAAAGAAACATGACTGTCAGAAACGCAACTGTGATTTTTGGCATGGCATCTGTTTCCCCAAAAGCCCAGAGAATGACGATATTTAAAAGAAAAACCTCCCTGTGGGTGTGCATTATGAACAAGTTTCTGTTGCCATGGAAACCATTGCTGGAATACCCTGGCCCGGCAGCTGTGGCTCAGTGAGGGGTGCATGGAGACCATGGAATCCACAGAGCAGTGGTCGCTTCCATGAGCACAGCCCCCAAGAGGCTCAGGCGTGCAGAGGTGCATTTTCACAGCTCGGAGCTCACAGACCAGGGGCATCAGAAGGGCTTGGGTTGGCAAGCTCAGAACTTTGCTTTTCTGTGGTTTTTCGGTGGGGGGGAGGGAGTTGGTTTGGTTTTATGTGAATTGCTAATTTGCCATGAGATTCTTTAGACAGCTTCAGCAGCCCACATTTAAAAGTGGGGGTGTGGCTGCCCTTGAAGGGAGCCATGTGAAGGGAGGGGCGCCCTGACAGCACATGGGCGAGTCCTGGTGTGACTGTCTTCAAGTAGAAGGCAGCATCCTCACCAGTCAGCAAGGACAGAGTCCGCCATCTTTGTAAGTCAGTATTCAGTTTGCCCCTTTGAGAGCCGAACCCAGACAGAGGTGGTACATCCTCAGAGGCAGCGTTCGCCGTGTGGCCTGGTGGCTCCCCAGTGTGGCAGCTGGGCCAAATGCTGTGTGGTGTCAAGGCAGCATCATGATGAGCCTCAGGAGTCAGAACAAGCTCAAGCAGGGCACCTGGGCCTGTCTCTGCCCATCACATGGTGAGAAGCCATCAGAGACACCAGTATGGGAGGAGGGAGTTTGGGACATGGGACAGGGCTGGGGACCCGAGACTTTTCCTCACATTTAAAGGGCCACACTCTGAAAAGGAAAGCCAGCTTGCTAGAGTGGCTCTTGGGGGTGGAATGGACAGCAGGGTGGACTTCACAGGGAGGCCCATTACAAGCTCAGAGTCAGGCTCCACCAGGAGTGGCCATGCCGCGCGCATGGTCTGGAGAGATGTGAGGGCTGCTGGGGCGGGGCGAGGTGGGCTCACTTCAAAGCAGGGACTCTCAGGATCCACCTCACCCAGGCGTCAGAACCCCATTCACAAGTGAATGAGGCAGCATGGCCAGTGGCTGAGGTGTACATCCTCGACTCCACAGCCTGGTTTCCAGACTCCAACTTCGTGCCCTTGGGCTCCTCTCTTAAGTCAGCCTGGCAGTAATACTGTCTTGCTCTGGGTTGTTGGTAGCATCCCCCAGGTGGCAAGTGCAGAGCAGGCCCCTGGCAGATGTGAGTGAATGAGCAGCTCCCGTGGCACAGGTCCTCAAACGAGAACACAGGCTGCCCCTCCACCCTTCTTCCCTGCCAGCCAGCCCAGTGGGACTGGCAGTCCTTGAACAGTGCACTCTCTGGCCCTCCTCACAGAGACTTGTTAAGGAAACGCCTCCGATTTCTGAAGTGTGGAATTCTGGTCTGCCACCACCTTCCTGGCCTCTAGCCTTTGCTATTGTTCCTAGGGGACAAGGAAAAGCAGTGAACCTACTGTAACAGCCAGACAGGAGGAAGCTGGTGGCATGCACACACGTGCACACATGCTCTGCACCCAAGCCTGCTTGCTCACCTCTGCGCATCTCCCTGCTGCTCCTATCATATTAGCAGTCAGCATCATTTACAAATGTATCTTGTCTCTGCATCTGCCCCTCCCTGCCCTTACTAGAATGTAAGCCTATAGGCAGGGGTCTTTATGGTTTTTTTCCTGTATCCCAAGTATCTCGAATAGTGCCTGGTACATAATACAAAGTAAGTAAATAAGCATTTAATGATGGTGGTGGTGATGAACGAGAACAAGAGGTTCAAGCAAGAGTTACCTAGAAAGTGCGAGGCAGCTTTGCTGGCTTCAGTCAAAATGTCCCTGAGGTTCCCCAACAGCAGCCACCACCCAGACAGCAAGTGTAGCTGGAGAAGCCAGTTTGGGTTTGTGACCCATTTCCTTTCATCTCCATCAAACCTCCATACCAAGCCCTTCCCGTTTCCTGACGAGGCCCAGAGGTGGGATGGGGAAGGAGCCCTTGGTTCCCAGGTGGGACCAATGCACTTTTCACCAAACTGCCTGTTAAGCTGATGCCCATAGTAAGCCTTTCAGGCTGGGCTGGGCGTAGAGCGGGCAAGGCCTCGGGCAAGCATTGAGATGTGCAAAAACGATCCCTGCCATCAGGTGTTAAACCAGGAGTCAAAACACTCACTTCAGGGTCGCACAACCAGAGCGTCTGGGTGGATCACAGACCCGAGGCTCGTGGGTGTGCAAGCTGCTGTGCTGTTGGAGGCCAGTCACCGGGGTGTTCATAGTAGCCCTCACCTCGGCATTTTCCAGGCAGGCCAGAGGGACCTGCTGAGCAGGGTCCTGGTTCACGGAGCCTGCCCCTCTCACCAGATAGGGATCCTTGGGGGCCGTTTGCTAAGACCATATGGATGTCTTGAGGGTGAAGGGTGTGAAAACGGGGGGCCACCTTGAGCACTTGCTCTTGGCTTTGGTTTATTTGCTTTGATCCTGTTTTTTGTTGTTTGTGTGGTGGGGCTGATTGGTCACAAACTCTGAGGTGCTCACATCTTTTTCCAGCTCCCTGGATAGTCATTCCCCTGGTTTCTAGCTCTAACGAAGTGCCT